TCTGAAAAAATCTGTGATAGTGAGCACTTCTCCTTTGCCGAGATAATCCATCCCACCTCACAGGTGTGGCATCCCAAACATGCTGAATGGGTGACATGTTAGGGTTAGGTTTAGGGTTTAACCCTAGGCTTTTCGGACCCCCCCCAATAAAGCAAAAATGCACGTTTCAGAGTGGCCTTTTATTGTGGCCAGCCTAAGGCACACCTGTGCAATAATCATGCTGTCTAATCAGCATCTTGATATGCCACACCTGTGAGGTGGGATGGATTATCTCGGCAAAGGAGAAGTGCTCACTATCACAGATTTGTTCAGATTTGTGAACAATATTTGAGAGAAATGGTTATTTTGTGTATGTAGAAAATGTTTTAGATCTTTGAGTTCATCTCATGAAAAATGGAAGCAAAAACAAAAGTGTTGCGTTTATATTTTTGTTCAGTGTATCTCTAAATGGTATATCTTCACTCAAATGTTTGCCCTGGATATTTGTTTTAAATCACGTCTCGAGAGAAGTGGTGTCTCTCTAAAAAAATTAATGGAGAAAAAAAAGGAAAACAAAATCATTATTATTTTTGATGGACTTTGATTGTGTATAGGCACAGAAAAAGACATATTGTGTCCTTTCATCTGTATCCATTATAAGCACCTATCACTCATGGTATTTGCACCTTTCTCGAGCACCCCTTTAAGATGCCAAACGCTGTGACTTTCAAACCAAAACAGACTTTGTTTTCGGGAACTGGCGCCCTGTTATTTTACTTGGCGGTGGCTGTAAATGTCTCTGGCTTCACGGGGGGCACTGTAAGAGAAATATCACACATTTGTGTTAAAACCCATGTTCCTACTCCCCTCTGCCCAGGGTACCATAATGCCCTGAGGTAGGTCTCAGGTCATTTAAGCCCCTCTTTCCTCTTCTACTGACCCCAAAGAGAGGTCCCTGTGAAAAATAGTCCCACTGAGACGAACGCAGTAAACCTGAAACCCTGTACTTCCTAAAGATGAAAGCCCATGGGAACGTCCAGCTTTCCCCCAGGTGGAAGTTCTGTTAAACCGTTATTCCGCCTTTTTTATTCTTTTTCTAAGGATCCAGGGTTGTTTTGCCTTTTTGTGTAAGTGTGCATAACATCTCAGCGGGACTCTTCTTGACACATTTTGGCGGAACTGGCAAGAAATGTGGAAGACAGATTTGTGGGTAACGTACTGTAAAATATCCAAATTAGGGAATGTTTAAAGGAAGAGAGTTCTTGTTGCTGAAATGTTTCTAGAGATCATTTCTTGTGAGCAATTTATTTTGTATGTTTTGAAACAGTGGTCAGTGGTTAGAGCGTTGGTCATCAGATCAAGGGGCGTTGGTGAACTCCAGTTCGAATCCCGCCTCGGCCGCCACTGCGTCAGGCCGTTGTGTGGTCCTTCGGCAAGACACTTTACACGCATTTGCTCCTGTGGGGTATGTCCACAGTAATGACTCTTACATGTCTGAATATATGTAATGTGTATTTTGTAAAGCACTTGAGCCACCTGTAAAAGCGCTCTAATAAAAGTGTAATCCATTATTTATTATTATTATTAAATGAAAACTCCTCTTAGTTAATATTACCTTCACTATGGCACTTGTGATTTCTACTCTTTAGTGAGTGGAATAAGTAACACTGAACGGGCTAACTGAGGGTTTCTACACTTCATATTCCTCAAAGATGTTAGTCTCTCAGTGGGCATTCAGATGGTAGCGCAGCTATTTTAGACTATCTGTCCATTTCATCCACTTATCTGGTTGTGTGTCCACTGACCGCTCATTAAAAGCATGTTTAAATAAGGGTAAAGCTTCACATTCAGACCTGCCTTTTCACCCATGATCCTGCTGGCTTGACCACAGACGCCCACACGGACTCAACAAATCGATCCTCCATACAACAAGATCTACACTCACCGCTTGAGATGGCCTTAACCAAGGTGACAGGAAGATGGGTAAATCCATGTTAATCTCATCTAGTGTCCATCCAACGTGGGCAGTCCTGGACCTTNGGCTTCACAAAAACTTTTCAGAGTTTTACAAGGCGTGGATTGCAATTCGCCCAGCCAATCAGAAATTGGAACCTTTTTCTCCCCAGGAAAGTACCTGCTCTCTAGCAGGCACTACAAAGGGGTGAAAAGGTTCTTTTTGGTGTGAACGCAAAATCCCAGGAACTATCGGAACTATTCCTGGGAAAAGTACTCCGGTGTGAAAGCGCCTAATGTGTGTTTCTCTCCAACACACTAACCCCCCCCCGCCTGACACGCCTCCATTGGACTCCTTTGTTTACTTCTGTTACATAATGACATCAGTATGTAAGACTCACGCTTCTATTGGCTAGCGTTACAACAAAGTGTACGTGATAGGGTGAAGGGGTGGGACATCTCTAAGCGGTTGACCAATTACAACAGAGCCGGCCAGCTAACCAATCAGAGGCTCTGGTTTCAGACAGAGGGTGAAAATAGGTGCTGCAGCACAGGCAGTATGAGAAAAATAAAGAGCTTTTTGAACATTAAAGCAAGTAAACATGTCCCAATAGAGACACTACATACTGATATGAACCTGAACATTAGCATGAAAGGACCCCTTTAAGAATGACCTAGTGTCTGTCCTTTCCCATCACAAGACATTCATCGTCTTTAAACATCTGCTTTAGTCACTCCCACTGGATTTCTTGTCCCTTATTATTATTAGCCTGTTGTCCTATTTTGTATAATTTTAATGGATAATTTCTCAACATCCTGGAGCTATGTTCACTCAGAAGTAACCCACATTTGAATCTCTGTTTGGTTAGTTTGACTTGAAACAGTCAAACAGACTTGAACAGAACTTGTTTTAAATTAATACTTAAATGTCTTTGAAAGAGGAATTTTCCATTCTCAACCTCAAACTCATCAGCCTGTAGGCTTTGAAAAACAAGAAACTAAGTATATTAGCATCATCCACTTCTCCACTTTTAAACACTTTTCTCAGGATGAAGCCTGGTTCCAGACCTCCTCTTTTACATCACTTACCTCTCAATATCCAGGATCTTTCCAGGAGTTTGAGTTATTAAAAACTTTGGTAACATATCACTTTAAATGTGAATGAAAGTCCACATAATATGATGCACCTCAAAGAAAGAATGATTTTTTTATCAATCCAGTTTGAAAGAATTAAAGTGATGGAAATGCATCAAGATTAAAGAAGCCAAATAATTGTTAAGAATCTTTGAGAAATGTCCATAATGAGATGGGATTGAAGAAGAGAAACTGATATTATGAAATTGAGCATAAAATAATCATTAATCTCTATTAACATTTTATTAGCTCGCTATGTCTACACACAGAAGTTCAAGGGGACGAAGCGTCCCTCTCTAACAGCAGCAGCTGGACAGCTTTACCTGACGGCTGCCATCACTGTGCTTTTGATTTGACTCGAACACCTCCTCTGGCTGTGTTGGTGTCGTCTATGAGCGTTGTTATGTGTGGGCTGCTTCCATTAACTAGATGGGTATCATCTTAACCCTCAGGACCCCTATGATGGTCTTCATGACAAAAGCGCCTGGTGTGGTGAAGTTCTGCTCTAATAGTAGGCAGCCCGGGGTCAGCTTGGTTTAAGTACTACAGTATTTATTTATGTTACTTATTACCAGCATTCAAAGACTGTGCTTTCATATGGAATTCGGAGATTGCAAAACGGAAATCCCCGCATAAACCTACTTTAAGGAAGAGACCACTTGACACCATGATGAATTTGCATTTGGTAAAAAAATTAGAAAACACGATTTGTCGAAAAAATCCTCCAAAATATGTTATTGCCTTTGCCATTGGAATTTAATTTTGATTGGACCCAGTATTAAACTATTCAAACAATATCTGCCCCTGTTCAAAAACGTGGGGAATTATTGCAAACATACGTAGATATTAAAGGTCCCCTATATTATACTGTTTTTCATCAATATATCACAGGTCACAGATATATACAAACATGTCCAAACAGATCATTGCAGCATTACCCATAATCCCCTCTGTTTCAGCCCTATTTCAAAAGTGCTGATTCTCTGTCTGTTACTTTAGATGAAAATAAGGAGCCCCTCCCCACGCCCCTCTGAGAGAGATTTGGTTAGACTGCCAAGGCACAC